CTCCGCCGCTCCCGCCGCCGCTCCGGGGGCACCGTGCCCGGGGCCGCCCCCGGTCCCGCCCCGCACCGCCGCCCCCGGGCAGCGCGGGGGAAAAGGCTCCCAAAGGGGTCGGGGGGCACCCGGGGGGCTCCGATGGGATCCTTCGGGATCTGGGCGCTGCCGTCCCAACAAGGGATGGGCAGGAGGTGAAGGGCTGGAAGGTGGTGCAGCAGGAGGGGACGGGGGACAGGAGATGATGAGCAGGGAAAAGGTAAACCAGGAGATGAGCTGCAGGGATGCGGAGGGCAGGGAGATGGAGGACAGAAGATGATGAGCAGGGAGGCAATGAACAAGGAGATGATGGACAGGGAGATGATGGATAAGGGAGACGAGGACAACGGAAATTAATAGCAGGGAGATAAAGGACCAGGAAATAACAGCAGGGAGATGAGGACTGGGAGATGATGGAGCAGGAGCCAGGCACGTGGGGAGCCGTGGGCCCTGCAGAGCATTCCCTGTCCTACCCCACAGTCCAACCAAACGTTCCCCTGAAGCAGAATGCTCAACATTACCAACATTTTTTTGGGAAAAATCTGTTTTTCCACTGTTTGTTGAGTTATTATCTGGGAACACAGGGGTTAAACATCAGTTTGTTTTGATCATTCCCATCCTCAGCAGAGCCTCTTCCCCAGGTCCTGGAACAGCTGGAATGTTTGCTCATTGCTCTCCTGTTCCAATGCAAACCTGTTACCCAATGAACCAAGGGCACATTTCACCCAATTGGGTTGGATTTTGACAGAATTCCCACAATCCATGACCCCTTTGGACCTCTGCTGGGCACGTGTGGCCTGTGCTTATGCAGGGAATAATACGGATATGAAATCCAGACCTTTCCAGAAATTAAAGGAAAACTAGCCAGGGTTCTGGCAGCCTGCCCAGCTCTGGGTCTGACTCTTACGTGGCTCTTTCCTGGGGAAAAAAAGATAGTAAGGAAAAAAAAGGGAAATGAGAGCAGAGCTATACGTAACATTTTAATATTGAATTTCTTGAGGAGATACCGAAATCTGGGAGGCAGCTGAACCACTGATGGATCTCATCCATCATCCCAAAGCAGCTTATCACCCTCTGGCTCCGAGCTGGCTGCTCCCAGCTCTCCTTGGATTGGGCTGGCTCAGAATTGCTCCCAGTAATACAGATAAAGGGAAGCAATAGGTTCTTTGGCTCTGTCCAAATCCTGCCGTCACCCAAACCCCCAGAAGTGGGGAGAGCACACAAAGGGCTTGGTTTTCCTTCTCATGACTGGCACATTTTCCTAAGGAACCTTTTTGCTCTTCCAGAAAAGGATATTTCTAGTTTCAGTGATTCTGGGATAAGTAAGTTCTTCCTGAGGGATCCCACCAGGAATGTAGCAGCCCACCACATTTCCTGCAGAAGGGAGAATACCAACCCCAAACGCTTGGGATGATTGTTTGGCCATTCCTGTCTCCTTTGTGCCTATTCCACCTAAAATCCACTATCTCATCCCAAAAAGCGGTGGCTCTGTGCCCACACTCCCTCACTACAACAGCCCCGTCCCACTCAGCTCCCTTGGGCATCCCAAATTCCCATTTTTTTGTCCCTCGCTGCCGGAAGCCGCACCCCAAACCCAGCGCGGTTTCCACCCACGCGGGGCTGTGAGGGGACACCCGGCCTGTCCCCCCCGCACCCGGGTCACGGCGCCGGCACCACCGCGGGACAGGTGCCGAGGCGGCAGCGGGTGCAGAGCCCGCGGCCTTGGAGGGATTTTTGCCGGGACATTCCGGGGATCCGGCGCCTGTGGGACGGCGGTGACG